CCGCCGGGGGGCCCGGAGCCAGCGGGAGCTCTTCAGCTACCTGCCGGGGGCCAGGAGGGAGCCCCGGGCGGAGAGGAAGCACCCGGTGCTGGGGGACTACGAGAGCGACCGTGAGAACTGGTCCCCCGACCGCTACTCCCGCGGGTGTCACCGGGGAGCCGACTTCTCCAAGAGCTCGCTGCCTGAGCGCGGCCGCTTTGACAAGGTGAGGCCCTGGGCCGGCAGGCTAGGTGCAGGGCTGTTTCCATGAAATGCGGCTGCCCGATGGGAGTAGGCTGGTGCAGAACGTGTACTGGGGGCTCTTCTGGAGAGTCCCCTAGTCCCAGCTGGGAGGCCTGATACCATGGCGATGGGCCTGTGCATGGCATGCAGCAGAGGCTTGAAGGTCCTTGTACCTAAATGTCACGTCTGTGTCCAGGGCAAAGGGGTGGGGCAGCCCTGAGCCATCCTGCAGCGGGGAAGACAGACTGGGGCGCAGCTCCTGGGGGTGGCTCTGGAGACCAGCCTGACCCCGGTTCTGTGTCTTTCAGTGTCGGATCAGGCCGTCTGCCTTCAAGGCCGTGGCTGGGAAAGGCCTGGTCTCCATGCAGGGCCTGGCCTCCTCGAAAGGGCAGAAGCTGTCAAAGAGCAACGGGAGCCTGCACACCCTCCTGTCCCAGAGCAGCACCTGCACGGGGGCCTCCTCCCAGCACGGCCCCCTGCGCACCCACCTGCTGCACACCATCAGCTTGGAGGAGGCCTCCAACTCCAGCCACAACTCCGTCCAGAGCTTCCCCTCCTACCCGCCCTGCTTTAGACCTGCCCCGGGTCAGCTCAGCGCCTCCATGGGCCACATCAACCACATTGGGGGCTCCCTTGACCGGGGCTCCCGGGGCCCCAAAGACCCTCTGGCAGTGGAGAAAGCGCCTCTGTCCTGCAAGAGCATGGCCACGCTGAGCCGCCTGCAGAGCTCCGGGGAGTCCCCACCCCCCTCCGATTTCACCTCCCTGGAGGATGTGCTGAAGCACCTGGAGGACCGGCTGCAGGAGAAGAGCGGGGAGCTGTGGCAGCTGAAGAGGAGCCTCAGCGAGACTGACGACCCCTTCGCACAGGTGAGTGCAGTGGGGCTGGCCTGAGGCGTGCTTCCCACCCCCATCCCAGGGCCCCTCCTTGCCTGGCCTGGGACTCCCTGGAGCACTGCGCCAGCAGGGGAGCTTGGAGCCTGGGCTTTGCTGCTCCCATTCCAGAGCATTGGGCTTGCTCCGGAGACACTGGCCTAGGAAACCTTTTCCCCTTGCGCCCAGGGGAGGGAGCCGGGGTGGCCCGTGGAGCAGCTGGCCAGCCTGGAAGCTCGTAGTAGTGCGAGCCCGGCTGTGCGGTGGAGCCCTGCCTTGTGCCCGCAGGTGTTTGAGGACAGGCAGCAGCTGTGGTGCTGCTCCCATTCCAGAGCATTGGGCTTGCTCCGGAGACACTGGCCTAGGAAACCTTTTCCCCTTGCGCCCAGGGGAGGGAGCCGGGGTGGCCCGTGGAGCAGCTGGCCAGCCTGGAAGCTCGTAGTAGTGCGAGCCCGGCTGTGCGGTGGAGCCCTGCCTTGTGCCCGCAGGTGTTTGAGGACAGGCAGCAGCTGTGGCTGGGTGGGGCGGGGGAGGGGGAAGAGGGCACAATGCAGCAGGTGACCCAGCAGGCCCAGCGCAGCCAGCGGGCGCTGCAGCTGCAGCTCTACAGCAGCTCTACAAAGCGCAGCAGGGGAAGAAGCGGCTGCAGGAGGAGCTGAGCCTGCAGCAGGGCCAGTGCGAGGAGCTGCGGCGGCGGCAGCAGTGGAGACCAGGTGGGAGGTGAGTAACAAGCCCCTCCCCCTTCTGCCCCCACAGCTGGGCCAGCGCCCCCAGGCCGGGCCTGCCCCACACAGGCTGCAGCTGCAGAAGCTGTGGTGCTGTGTGGAGGATCTCGGGCGCAGGGCGGGGCAGAGTGCCTGAGCCTCCACGGGCTGCAAAGCCTCTTTCTGCGCCACTGCGGGCAGGGCCCCCGCTCCACCCTGCTGGGCAGCGCTGGAATTGAGGGGGGGCTCCTATCGCGAGGCACCGCCCGCCCTCCCCGTGCGTCCCGGGCTAGCTCTGCCCTTCCCCGCATCTCCTGCAGGTTTGTCAGAAGGCAGCTGAGATCTCCCTGCTCAAGCAGCAGCTTCGGGAGTCCCAGGAAGAGATGGCCCAGAAGCTCAGTGAGATCTTCAGCCTGAAGACCCAGCTGCGGGAGGCCCAGGCTGAGGTGCAAGCCAAGGACTCTCAGCTGGCCCAGCTAGGGGACTCACCTCTGGGGGATGCTCCTATGCCAGGCTGCCAGGACTTCTCTGGCTGTGAAACTGACGACTCCAAGTGCTGGGGGCTTCACGGCGAGAGTGCGGAGCCCCCAGAGAGGCAGGTGGCGTGGCTGTGGGCAGAGCTGCTGCGGGCACGGCGCCAGGGCCAGCTGCAGGCTGTGAACTTTGAGCTGGAGCGCAAAACCTGGCAGGAGGAGAAGGAGAAAGTGCTGCGCTACCAGCGGGAGATCCAGGCTGGCTACATGGAGATGTACCACCGCAGCCAGGCGCTGGAGCGGGAGCTGCGGCAGTTACGGGCCGAGCCCCGAGAGGCTGACACCGACTCGCCCTGGATCGAGAGTGGCGAGGCTTCCAAGATCTGAATGGGAAGCCAGCAGCTCGGTTGCGGAAGGGCAAGAGCTCTTGGGCTGGCAGCCAGGCAGCACCTGGGGCTTGTGGGTTCCACTGCAGACTGGCGATGCTGTGAACACTGGGGAGCGAGTGCTGCGGCTCTCTGTGCAGGGTTGCACTGTCATTCTCACCGCCCAGCATTGTGGGGCAGCCTGTGCTTCCTCCCCCCCCTGCTCTGGCCCTCTCCTTACGCTGTCCGCACTGCATGCCTGCCAGTCTTGCTGCATGCCCTCGGGAGAGCTGCAGGCCCTGGGCGCCATGTAGGTAGCCTGCCCGTGGGGCTTGAGGCCTCTGGGCAGTGTGAAATCTGGATGCTGTGGAGCAGTTCCAGCCTGGGCTAGAGCTGCCCCACACTTGGTCCTCCTGCTGCAGAAACTCCAAAAGGGAGTCACTGCAAGGCTCCTGCCACGGGAGGCAGGTGCAGAGGCTGTGCGCCACCCGGGGCGGTGCCCTCTGCCTGGGGGCTTCGGAGCTGGGGTCTGTATCCTGCCGTAGAGAAGGGGGCTGGGAAGCAGCTGCTGCCAGCGAGATGCACGTGGCTCAGGCCTGCCCCCTGTTCTGACCCAGCCGCCTGGGGGGCAGGAGCACATGCCTACTGGGATCAGATGGATGAAGAAACTTCCCCCAGCAGCCCAACCCTGGCTGGGGGAGGAGCGGGGGGACCTGCCCATGCAGAGAGAGAGCACCTGGTGGGCTCACAGGCAGTGAGGGGGAAGGTCTGGTCAGTTTCCCCTCCACTCAGCTGCAGCACCCAGGGGAGCAAAGCCTTTCACCAGGAGATAGGCTGGGGTTGGCGCTGAGGGTAGGCAGGGACTGTCTAGCACCATGGGGAGTGGAGGGCTGGGTGCCTGTGATTGGCTGGGCTCTGGATATGAAGGTCCAGGCCTGGCAAAGCTGTACTCAGCCTCTCCTGGAATAAATCGCAATTTGGTACTTCTGGCTCCTGTGGCTGCTTCTCTCTCCTGCAGGGGGGTGGCCCCAGCAGCTGCCCATGGTGCTCACGTGGGCAAGTTACAGGCCTCCCGCTGTACAGTCTAGGGCAGCAATAAAGCTGGTATTTTCCCACCACCAGGGCTGGTGCTGCAGCCACTGCTCTGTTTAGGGAGAGCCTGGGAAGTGGGGCTGGGC